GCTGCTGATGCTTTTGAGAAAGCACGCAGGATCACTCTTGAGGAGAAAAGACAACGCAGAAAGAATCGAGCCTTGCAGAATATACCATCTAAGGAGTCTTTCTGCTGTGTCTTTTGCAACCGGACGTGTCTATCTCGTATTGGCCTTTTTAGCCACCAACGCGCTTGCAAGAAACGTGGGTAGAGTCCTTCCCAAATCTTCGTTCGCGAAGCCTAGCCATGATGATTTACTTAATATCAGCATTACTGCAAAGTTCCTTAACTTGTTGAGGTACTGATGCACTTAGAGGAAACCTGGGCTTCACTTTCAAGTTATTCCTTTATCTATTTACTTGAAAAGGAATGAGAAAGCATGCACAGACTTCTTTCTCTTTCCACACAAGTAAAATAACATACAATGAGAACAAAAGTATCACACAAACCCAGTACTTTTATATTTAGACAAACCCTTAAAGTCTCTCTAAAATCTGATTACAGAGGGGTCAAGTTTGTGCTTCAAAACACAAAATCCCTCAGAGGAGGTCTTTGTTATCGCTATATCTGAAGACTGGGTTCAAATAAAAACCCATCACACAGGAAGTGTTAAAGTACTCAATACAACCAAGATCAGTGGGAGATGTTGCCAGTAACTTAACAAAACAAACAAAATTCTGAACATTTTTCTGGTAAGAAACCATGCTCAAAGGGGTAACATAAAAACTCATGAATACAGACAGTGTGTATTAATGACTTTCCTACTTATTACTTACAAAAATACACTAAAACAGGTAAGAGTTTAGAAGTCAAGCAGTCAAATTTTAAAACCCCAGATTTAAGCATAACATGCTTGTCTCTTCACTCTGCTGTAACTATGTAATTACATATTGTTCTTACAGAGGAAACTCAATGCATAGCACAGGCAGGACCTCAGGAAATGAATCACCCGTGAAAAGAGACTTCAAGCACACACCTTTATGGGCACTGCTTCTGACCAAGGCATGGGAAATGTTCAGCACCCAACTTTAATGGCACAAAACCTGTTGTGCAATCACTATGCAATTAAAATACCAAGTGCAGAAGCAACAATGGGGAATGTACTTAAAGGTAACAACAGGGCTATGTAAAATATCTTAGAAAAGGAGGGTGAAAAATTGCATCTAGAAACAAAGACGCACAAAAATACCAAGTTCTCTGAAAAATAATGGTCAGAAGCACCCAGGTAGTGCATAGTACTGTTTCATCCCTCTCTAGATCACATTTCAGAAGTTGAATTAAATTGTAACTGTTTTCACTAGACCAACAGACTGTATAAAACACTTAATACAACCAGCTTCACAATTTTCCTTTAACCAATCCATTCTATGACATGTTTGCAGAAAGACTGAAGAGTAAAATTTCAAAAGCAAGCTTCAAAACAAACTACATTAAAGCTGATGGGAAAGGTCCAACATTTACTGACAAAAAGCAGTGACTCTCTTGGTATCACTAAACAGGTGCATTGTTTACAGTTTTGACTAAACTCTATGCCAGCTTCAAAATAAAACCATTCCCATAAGGCTGGCCTGGACAGATTTCACTCCTGTATGTAACACAGCATAAGATACCTTTTACAGGCTGAGCTTATCTGTGATAGCAAGGCTGGGGTGTTCTACTCAACTCCTTCACATGGAACACGACATTTGAAAAGATGAGAATGCAGACAGCTTATCAAGGGATCTTATACAGACCAACTTTCTTTCATGACCCAAAACAAAGACTCTCTGCCCTTTTCTCTTCTGTTACTTCACCCACTTCAGCTCCTACCTCAGAAAAGCCCTAAATTTCACCTTACCACTACCTTTGCTGTTGAAATTCATGCAGCCTGGCTAAACACCTAGAATATACATAGTCTAAAGAGATTAAAGGTCTTGTCTGTCCTTTCCATATTACCATTTCGGATTCATAATTAAAGAAGTCACATGCAAAAAAGCAAACAGACCAAAGCCAGTATTTTAACAGAGAACTATTTTCTTCAATTCTCAGATAAGAAGTCAAGCACAAGCCACAACACTTCTAGCCCAATTTTTGCTGCAAATCAAACAGTGTGTCGTTTTTGTATTCTCTGCAGCTCCAAGAGAACATATGGACACATTTTCTTCTCAAGTCTCCCTCTCACCAGCCTATTTTTTTTCTAAACTTTAAGTTCAGTTTCTTCAAAATTCATCCTGTATCAGCATTCTTGCTCTACCTTCAAGTGTAATATCAAAGCCAGAGAGTTCTAAAGCTCCACTAGCACTGAGTACCTAATCATGTTACCTCATATGTTAAATAGAACATTCCTATGTTTATATCTGAGCATGACTTTTCCCCTTTTTCCTGCAATGCCAGATCATGTTGACTTACTAGTCTGACCTACCATGCAAAAATTACTTCTGCAATGCTACTGCCTCATCAGTTTTGTATTCATGCACTTGATTTCCCTGTCCTTGGTAAAAAGTAATGCATTTAAGTTAGTCTTGCTAATTTTGAACATTTTTCCAGTTTAGGGACAAGGACCAGAATCCATAAATCATCTCAATAAGGTAACTATAAGATCCAAATCTTGCACAGTGCATCCTGCTCGTTACTGTCAGACCCCATTCATGTCCTCCTTGTAATATCACTAATCATTGAAAACTCTCACTCATTTTTTTTCAATGAGCTACATATTCCCAGTGATTTCATTTAGAAAACGCTTCCTCTCTTAATGACCTCCTTTTCTTTTCCAGTACAAACTAGTTATCACGGAGGATCTAATTTTTCTCGCAACAGCACAACACTTAAAATGGAGCAGAGAAATTAAATTTTTTTATCCCTTGCCATCCTGCCAACTCTCCAGCGGCAGAGCTAGGAAAGAAAAAACAACTATTCCATCTTCTGCAGACAGCAGTAACACAGGGATTTATATCGGGCTCCAGAGACCACCGTTACAGTTTTCAAGCAGCTGCCGAGCCCTGCAATCCAGGGCACATCCCCTGGACGTGGCGTGACTCACTGCTCACACCGACAGCCCGCACATCCCAGGTCTGTCCTCCTTACACTGGGAAAGGCTCCTCGCTTCCACCTCGCCACTACCAGCGAACAAAGTTCTCCCCCAAGAGGAATGTGACATTTCCCGTAGTTATCACCCCTCGCACTCCACTCCGCCGAATAGTCCGTAGCAATTATTAAAAAATCAAACAGTGAGTGTGACATGACATCACACCACGAGCTGAGTCCGCCCTGAGGACACTCCGGGTCGGACAGGCCGATTTCCGCGGGGCAGACACCGGCCCGCAGCGGCTGCTCCGCCACCGGGACCGCTCAGCGCCCTTCCCCTCGGGAGACGGCGGCGAAACCGCCCGAGCAGCCCCGCGGTCGGAGACCCCTCACAGCCCGGGAGCGCCGCCCGCACCCCCGGCCCCGCACCCCGAGCCCGCGCCCGGCCCCGCGCTCTCACTTGAGGTGGTCCAAGGAGTGGATGCTGCGGGCGGCCTTGCCGTGCCCGCCGCCCACCCAGCTGCGGGAGCGGCCGAACATGCTGGCGGTGAGCGCGGCCCCGGCGGCCCTACGCGCTCATGGCCCCGGAGCGGGGCGGGCGGGCAGCGGCGGAGCCTCGGCGGCGGCACCGGCGCGCACGGCGCACGCGCGGGCGGGGCACGCCGGGAATGCCGGCCCGGCCCCGCCCCCGGACTGCGAGTCCCGGCGGGCACCGCGCGGGCCGGGGCCGCCCCTCACAGGGAGCGCTGGGGGCACTGAGGGCTGGGCCTTGGGAGCAGGTGTCACAGAATAGTGGGATGGGGCAGGCTGGAAGGGACCACACTGGGTCATCTGGTCCCAGCAGGGTCATCCCAGAGCACACGGCACAGGACTGACGGTTCTGGGATGTTTCCACTGAGGAGACTCCACACACTCTCTGGGCAATCTGTTCCAGTTCTCGGTCACTGCACAGTGAAGAAGTTCTTCCTCTTGTTCAGGTGGAACTTCCTGAGCATCAGTTCTTGCTCTTTGCCTCTTGTCCATTGCTAGGCACCCCCAAGCAGAGCCCGGTCCATCCTCTGACACGTCCATTCAGATACCGATAGACATTGACGAGGTCCTCTCTCAGTCATCTCTTCTCGAAGCTGAACATCCTCAACTCCTTCAGCTTGTCCTCGTCAGGCAGATGCTCCAGTCCCCTCATCATCTTTGTCACCCTCTGCTAGACGCACTCCAGGAGCTCCTTGTCTCTCTTGTCCTGAGGAGCCCAGAACTGGACACAACACTCCAGCTGTGTCCTCACCAGGGCAGAGTAGAAAGGCAGGATCACCTCCCTCGACCTGCTGGCAATGTTTTTCTTAATGCAAATTTGTTCCCCGACATTCCTTGTTCACCTTCCATAACCCAAAGGGAGCAGCTGTGTGGGGTCAGGTCAGCGAAATTCAGCTGCTGACATTACCCTTGCTGAGGTTCTTCCAATAAGGATTGCACTTTTACTTTTGAATCGGCTCAAAAATTAAAGAAGAATGAAGAGAACAGGACTACTAGTGACTGTCGTGACCTAGTTTGGGATTTCTTTTTTTTTTTTTTTGCTTTAACCAGGGAAATAAATTAAAACTAAATAAAAGCTGAAGAGTTTGTCAGCCAGTCTTAAAACTGCACCGAGTTTAACATCATGCCTTCGTTATATTTTGATAGAGGCATAGCCTTGGTCAGCAACGAAACACCTGCACCGCAGCCGAGAGGGGCCCGCGCCCGCAGCGCTGCGCCAGGAGGGGACAGGGAACAACTTCCAGGGGCAGAGGAACAGCGCAAACCTGCGGGGCGCTGCAGGGCTGGGCAAGGCGAGGGTCGGGCACCGTCAGCCGCCTCCTGTCCCCTCCAGCCCTCGGGCAGCCGCAGCGGGACCCGGCTGCCGGTACCGGTACCATCCCCATCCCGGCGGTGCCCGGCGGCGGGTGAGGCGGCGGGCGGGGAGCGGGGCGGGCAGCACGGTCCAGCCGCGCAGGCCGGGCCCGCAGCCGGCGGCAGGTGCTCCCAGCGCGCCTGCGGGCTCCTGCCGCGAAGTTTGCGGGCGGGAGGAGGAGGAGGAGGAGGAGGGAGCCGCGGCGGGACTGCAGCAGCCGCGCTGGAGATGCCGCTGAGGAGCCTCCTGCCAGTGGCGGGGCTGCGGCAGCGCCGCTGAACCCGCGCTGGCCGCCGGGGCCCCTCGTCCTCCGGGGACGGAAGGGACCGAGCCGGCCGCTCCGCGCCACTGAGGGGGTTCGCCTCTCCCCAGCGTCCGGATCCGGCTCCTCGGGGGTTCTGCCCTTCGCTGCCGCCGGGGCTGCGGTCGTGCAGCCCTGCCCCGCTCCCGGCCCCGCCGCTGCCGCCCGCCCCCCCGCGCCGGCCGGGCGGGTCGGTGCCCGCTGCCCCCGCAGCCCCCACGGCTGCATGCCCGCCGCGGTCTCGGCACGTCTGGATTCGGTGGAGTCCTGGGCCTTCCATGCGCTGCTGGTGCTGCCCTATATGTTTTACGTGGGCTTGTTCTTTGTCAACGTGCTGATCCTGTACTATGCCTTCCTGATGGAGTACATCGTCCTCAATGTAGGCATCGTCTTCCTGCCCGAGGATATGGACCAGGCTCTGGTGGATCTGGGGATGCTCTCCGACCCTGGTTCCGTGCTCTACGAGACGGACAGCGAGCTGGATGTCTTTGACGGGTACTTGGAGTGACGCCCCGGGGCGCTCCGAAGCGACCGAGCGGTGCCGCCGCCTGGCCCGGGGCCGGGCGTCCCGGCATGGCCGTAGCTCGGGGGCCGCCGCGGCCCCGGGATGCCCTCGCTGCGTCCCGGCTCTGCCTGCGCAGCATCTTCCCTTCCGAATGACACCCTTCCCGCCCGGTGCAGGGGCCAGAGGGGCAGCCGGGACCCGCTGCCACCGGGCAGGCCCGCGGAGACCTCGACAGGGAAGTAAGTAATTTCCTGGGGCTCGTCCTGGGCAGGCCTGCGGGGCGCTTCGGGCGGGCACAGCGGGCACGGCGCCGGGACACGCTCCAACGCAGCTCCCGGCACTGCGGGCACGGGGCCGGGGCCACCCCCGGCGCTCCCCCCGCCCGGCAGTGCCCGGGGGCCGGCGGGGACAGCGTCCCTTCCTTCCCCCGAGGGCTCGTCGAGCCACTGCAGCTGTGCTGCCTGTACAGCTGGGCAGCAACTTGGCTCATCCCGTCCTGCAAGCAGCTCTGAATCTAAATGAGCATCCCGGCTAATATTTAGTACAACTCAGAGACCATCCTCGAGCTAGAAATACATCTTAGTCAGCTGCCCTTTAAAACCACTCTGTTGGATCATGACAAACTACCCAGCTCACGGTTCTTCCCATTTTAATTGTAGCACGAGGGTTTGCTTATCAATTTGTTGTAGTTCTGAGTGATTCTAAATGGAAATGTAAGGATTTAGCATTTTAAAACATGCATTTGGGAAGAAAATCACTGTTTCTGGCTAGGACTTTCTGTGCCAAATGTATGTTAATGAAAACATTCAGAGTTTAAATTTAAATGTGTTAGCAAATCTGCCAGTGGATTTTTTAGCAAAATACTGTCTGTAAATTTGAAAACCAGTTCAGGATACCTCCCCCCTCGTTTGAAATGATGAAAATAGGAAATTTAGTTATAAGGTTACAAACATAACCTCGGAAAACACACTGTACAAATACCAGTTAACATCAAGCTATTTTAAAGTCTTCTAATCTTGAAAAAAACCCAAACCAACCTTTCCTGTAGTTCTGTCTTTCATATAGGTTAAAAATTATCTCTTAAGTATTTCCATTCAGATTCCATATAAAGAAATAGTGGCTGATTTTGGTCAGTAGTTTAGAAGGAAAAATTGGTGTTGGAGTAACACTGATTGCACAAACACAGCTGAACAACACTTGGTCAAAGGCACGTGGGAGCATAAGGAGGGAGTGAACAGATTTTGTTGCTACTGGAGAAATCCCACAGCATAGAGTCACTGAAAATGAAACATGCCAATATTTGGTGGTTCATCCCAAGCAACTGGATTAGAATCACTTCTGCTAGAGTAGAAGGTTTGGAGCAGAACAAACCTCCCCACAAAACACTGATGGCTGCTTTTGTGGCTGTCTCCTTTTTCAGCTGAGCAAATAACATACATACTCTGTATTACAGGAAAGAAATTCCTAAAAACTAATGGAAATCTAAGCAAAATATTTGGTGCAAAAACCCTTATCCATTTTCTCCCCCAAAATACTTTTCCTCAAACTCCAAATCTTATTACTCCAATGCCATTTAATGGGTTCAATGCCATTTAAGGGATTAAAAATACTTTTTTAAAATCACTGTTTTTCCTGACTAAAATTTACCATGGTGAGTTGCATCAGGTTTCGGGAAGACCTAAGGAGAGCAGCAGACATGATTTTTTCCTCAGTGGATTTTTCCTGTTGTATGAACATATAATTTGATAGAGTATAAGGTCTGAGCACAATTCTGTTCAGTGCAGATAAATGGGCTTCTTAGAATTTTCCTTCATATTAATGAGATAAGTAGATCTGAAAACTTCTTGATATTTGGACTCTAAAACCCTGTCACATAAAGCCCAGAAATCAAAATGCAGAGGTCTTCATAAAGCTCAGAAGTCTCAGTCTACATCCCCTGTGAGCTAATGGAGCTCTGCCTGCATAGGTACCAACTCCAGCCTTGATCCTTTAATTTGGAAGCTCTCCTGTTAGATGGTGGTTTCCACTGAGAATCAAATCACAAATCCCTAAAGTTAGATCAATTCTTAGGCAGCAAAAAGTATACTATTACTGTCTTTCATATATTTATATATTTAATTATATTTAGAGACGCAGCAGCCAAGCCACAAATTGCATAATTATTTAGCTACCAGGCAAACACTCAGCATGTCACCATGAAAAGGAATTTGTGTTAATACTCTGGTTACAGGTTTCTTCACTGCTCTGTGCCATTCCTCCTCACCAGTCCCTTAGCAAGGCGGCAGAGGAGGGCCCTAATTTGGGGCTGTGTTTTCTGCTTTGGGAGCAGCAGTAAGGCACTGAAAGGGAAGATTTAAATTCCTTTGGTGCCTAGCCTGCAGTGACCCGAGGTCAGTATGAGTGTTAATCCGTGCTCTCCACAGCCTGGGAAGGATCCCCACCCTCCCTGTTGCCTCGCACCCAGAAGTGCTGAGGATTCAGGAGACGCTGCAGGAGGAATTTGTCTGAGTTTTGCCAGCAGTGATGAAAAACACATAGGAATCCTCTTTGCATTAAATAGGAGTGTTCTTCATGTGACTCACCAGTGGTTTCTGAGAGCAACCAAAGAGCTATGATTAGCCTCAGCTGAATCCTTGCGGCATCCTCCGTGCCTTTAGAAAGCCTGGAGGTGAGTGGCATGTGTGACAGGAAAACAAAGGGGGGAAATCCCAAGAGGTGATTCTGCAATATGTGGAAAGGCTAATTTAGATGTGAAATTAAAAGAACATGTGGATCAGAAAAGTTCTGTTCTCTCTTGCAGCAAAACCCTCACTTGAATAAACTCAATAGGAGCAAAATCATGTCCAAGTTTCTGAGCATAATTGGTGGCAGAGATTGAAGGCAGACAGCTAACTAAAGCAGCTGAAAGAAGTTTCCTGGCCTATTCAAATGGAGAAATTAATCCGTGTAAACTGAACAGGATTGAGCTTGTTTGTGTCATCTACTGTTTTAGAGTGAGTGTGCCAGGTTCTTTATTATATTCGAAGTCCCCTGGACTAAAGTCACATGACTGTTCTCATACTTTCATAAAATCAGATGTGACTCATCACAAAGTACTCTAATCAGAAAGAAGATGAGCAAAAGTAATCAATAATCAAAACTGAATAGGAAATACTGAATTTATATAATCTTACGTTATTACAATATTATATATCATTGTATATATATTGTGTATATATATGTATACAGTATATATGTTGTTACATCACAGTATTATATATCATTACCTGTATTTTTTCATAAGGTGAAATATGATGAATATCTTCAGTGAGCAGAACCCAACACTGAAGAACTTATGACTCAGCACTTCTGCTGAATGTCAACATCTAAATTCTGAATCAGAGAAATAGCTTTACTCACCAGCTCATCAATACAGTGCCAATTAGAACTGCAGGCTCAGTGTCTATGGGAACATAGCCCAGTGAAGAGGGAAATGACCACGCTGGACTACTTGCTGTGTCTGCCACTGGTGTCTTCTGTGAGCTTAACTCACCTGTGCCTCTGTTTGTCTCTCTGAAACAGAGATGTCCTGTGAAGGGCAGATCAGAAGAATGATATCACTAGCATTGTCAGGATAAATGCATCACATAAATGCGTCAGAATCCAATTCCTGACTTCTTCCTTTTCAGACTTTAAATATTAAAAATAGTGAGAACAGCAATCTGTTACTTATTTTACCTTACCATTTTTCACTATGTTTTTTTCCCTCTTTGTAGAAATCTCCAAGGTGGCTTGTTGACTCCATGATACAGATCAGTTGGCTATTTTATGAGTTATAGGAACAAGAGGCTTAAGAGCAATTAAAAAAATGTGGTTTGAATTCTTAGGTGTTATTAAAATTAATAGAAGTTCAGTGTTCAAACTCACCTGATAACTCTGCTTTAAAGAGAATTTTGTACTTAATAGGAATTTCATCCTAGATGGAAGGAAGACAAAATCACGGTTCTATTGAACTGTCCATACAGACTCATTAGCCACAACCATGGGCAGTCCTAAGTGATTTTCTACCAAATGCAATTATTTATATAATGCAAAGAGAGTAGGCAGATTTTTCAAAAAGTTTTCCAAAAGCTGCTGTTGATAATGTGAATTAAAACAAGGCACAGAAAATAGGGAGACATTCAGTTTTGGATGGAAAGAGTTCAGGCCTGAGTACATCATGTGTTAAAAGCCTCAGCCACAAGTAATTTTAAAGAATAATTAAAAAAAAATCTCTAGTTCTTTCCTATAAAAATGAAGCTTACTGTAATCAACTTGCTTCAATAGGTGGCAATAGCCAATTACCAGTTCTAAGCTGTCAAAGGAATTAAGAAATGAATCCAATTTAATTCTTCGTGTTTGTTTCCTCTGGAGGAAGGACAAAGTACCACTTTAGTTCAGCTAATAACTAACAATCCTAAAATAGAAGAAAAGAATAATTTGTTTAGAGACATTTAGTGTGTATACTTGGCCAGTCCAACTCTATGATATTTGTCCCCTCGTAATGATTCTAGTTTATAAGGAGTGCAACTGTCAAAAGAGATTAAATAGTATGCACAAGTTGCTAAATCTTTCCATTTCTTTGGGGAAATTATCACACTGTCTGTCTTTTCCCAGATGAGTTTTAGTACTTTGGCCACACTCTTGGAAAAAAATAGCTGAATAATTTCAGTGATGCTCTCTGAAGACACAAACATGTTTCTAATGTATGTGATAAAAAGGGCAAAGACTAATAGCAGCCATATATGGAAAGTAATGGTATAATGGAAAATGATGACGTGCACTGAATGATATGATTGCTGGGTAAAACTCTGGTTCAGTTATATACTCTTTGAAGTTCAAATATATTCTTTGAAGGGCCAGGAAAAATAGACCAAAGGCTCGCTCAGGCAGCAGAGCCCAAAGAGGCTATGAGATCTGAAACACACTCCTGCAGAAAGTCAGAAAACAGAAAGCAGACAGGATGTAAAATAAAGTCACTGTGTGTCCTTTGGTCCAGGCTGAATTGTGAGGAGCAATAACCTCACAGGCAGAATTAACAAAAATATCATGAGTGAGTTTCTTCTAAAGCTGGAGTTATGCTACTACAGCCATACTGTTAAATGCTTGCAGGTGTGTTGGCTTTTGGAAGACTGTGGTTCTGAGATGTTAAAAATATTTTCTACCTTATAATTTTCCATTGGTTTTTGAAATTTTTGAAATTTTCTGTTAAAAAATAGGTTCACATGAAATTTGAGGGAGAGCCTTTTAATCAGAAAATGGGAAAGGCAAGATTGAATATCCTGGTCAATTGTATACTTCACACCCCATTTAATATCTGCCACAACAAATTAACAGTCTTGGACTGGCAGCCCTACAGCAGTACTTGAAGCTTCCATTAGATGGCTTTACACTTTGCTTTGGAGGCCCAATACATTTTACTGTGCTATTTTTAAGTCAGCCTAGAATTTGATCTACAGTGCAGAATACTAACAATCTCTCCCTGAACTGTCTGCTCTAGACCAGTTTTAATTCCACTTGGAAAGCAATCAAATAAACATGAAATGAGTTAGCTGGTAGAGCTGCTGTTTCCCCTTTTCGTAACCTTAGCTTAAGAGACAGGATTTTGAGCCGATGTTTACTGTTAGCAGGTACTGTAGCTGACAGAAATTGGACAGAAATACTTCTCTGGACACAAGAGCTTTCTGTTTCTGACCCAGCATCTGCAGTCACTGGCACACAGGAACATGTGAAATGTCGTGATGAGTCAGACCACGATCCCCTAACCCTGTGTTCCACCTCTGACAGGGGCAGGGGATGCTCTCTGGGACACCAAAATCTGCAGGCTGTTCTCTTTGTGCTTCCCAGAATCCACAGTGCTAGGATGTGGGATGTTACAGGACACATTACTGCTCAGCCTTTTTGCAAATGTTTTCCAAACCCGACACCTTTTGCCTGCTCCATGTTATGAAATCCTTCTGGATTTGCTTCCTGTTCAGCCTCTGAATACCTGAAACAGCTTGTTTTCTGCAGTCTGGAAGATTCCTCTATTCATTCTTTTCTCTGGGTCAGTAATGGTGATGAATAAAAATTGGTCCCTGGTGTACTCTGATACTGAGTTCTTTCCTACCAAGGCTTATTCTTTCCTTCCAATCTTTTAATCTGCTTTCAATCCACAGAAGAACCTTTCCCCCAATACAGTGTCAACCTGTTTGCTTTCAGCTTCCTTTAACACCCTTGTTAATGACACTATTCCTCTGTCTGTCCCAGCTCATGCAGAACATGTGATCATCATAGTTCTCATTCACACCCAGAAAGGGGAAGGAGGGAAGAGCTGTCCTTCCAGGGACTTGCTCCACACAGCCCAGATGAGCTGCAGACAGCCAGGGGACCTGCTCTTGGCCTTCTGTACCTCAAATCATCCTCAACACAGATTCATCCTCACAGAATCATCCCCTCTCAGAGCTGCACCATTCTATACTGTAGTAATTAGTCATCTGTAAGATCACAACACCAAATGGATACAGACACTAGTGCCCAGCACTGTCATAATCCACAGCTCTTGTGTTTACCTCTGGTGGTAGTAAAAGATCATCTCATAGCAGTCAAATACTTTGACTTAGGCAAGGCAAGCTGGTTGAACTGGGATAAAGCAATATAACAGTAATTTATTCTTGCCAGTAAGACCAAGAAGTTACCCCAAAATGTTACTTAACTCTGTAGCTACTTACCAGTGGATCCAAAATGGTTTGAACAACATGACTCTAAATTAAGAGAGAAGGTGACCAAAATCAGAGCTACATCAAATGTAGGCAATACATGGTTAGCACAAAGACACAAAAAATAACAACACTCTAATGAACAGTGTCTCATTAAGAGAGAGTAGCCAGTTCAAAAATCAGTTTTAATGAATAGGTCTAATGATATCAAACCCAGCATAAAATAGGTTACCCCACTGTATGTCACAGCTGTTGTACTGTCCTAAGAACATCCCTTACTAGTTGGCATGATAGACTGTGGTTTACTACTTACTTTCATACCTCTCAAAGCCCTCACACTGATATCTTCATGCCTCTCTTAAAAATCCACTAAGGACTTGTGTGCTCTGACATTAACAGGAACTGTGACATTAATTTCTATGAAAGGTTGTTCAGGCCTTTACTGCTCAAAGAATTATTACCCATAGTCACAAAAGGCTTTGATTTTTAAACTTTTTTTTATTTAATAAGTCAAGGACATGGTGCTATATCTCACATACACAGTGACTATTCTGTTCATTTTAGCTGTGGAAGGTTACTCTGTATTTATGTGTTTTCTTTTAAACAGATGCATTAAACACCTGACATGGATTATGACCAGGATAATGGATCAAGTCCTGGAAAGAAACTGTACTCTGAAATGGGGAGATGGAAATAAGGACAAGAGAAGAACAAGAAGAGTTGTCATCAGACCTTGTCAGTTGTGACTTCTCTTCAAGGTCTTGCCTCTTGAGGGTGCACTAACTGCAGTGACTCGTGCACCATGCTGGGCTTCCATGGGTAATTCTGGGATGGACTGTATCAAAAATAAGATAAACTACGTTCCATTATAACAGAAAATCAAGATGTTACTCAGATTTGATAAACTTTTGAATAAATACCATGTCACCCAAGTGGACACGCTCTACATATAGCTTAAGAGGGTTTTACAATCACACATTGAAAACTCTACCAGCCAGTAGCTCAAAGGCAGTGCTTTCTCAGGGGATAATATGCAGGAGTGACTGCAAGGAGGTTCTGTTCAGGGAGTATAACGGCAAGAACTGTGCTAGGAAGATATTTTATTTAAATTGTGAGTTTTGAAATAGATCAGAGAGTGAATTTTATATGTCAGATGGATTCATTATCTAACACAGAATACTTGGCAGATTGTTTAAGCTCATGTTCCTATGTACAGATGTGAAAGCAATACAATAAAGACTGATCTTTTCCATGAAAAATTAGCAGTCATATTGGAGTTGTTATTTTTCTATTTGGATAGAAAATAATTTAAATATGCTTTCCAGGAAATCTTAGTTTTCCTACGGGTACCTCACATAGTTCCAGATTGCTGAGATGCCCAGCATGTAGAAATCCTTCTCATGAACAACTGCTTAAGAAATCAGACCTGAACTGAAACATCAGGAACTGTGGTGGGAGGAACCCACATTACTGAGGGCAGGTATTGGGCTGGGTTTGGTTTTTTAGAAAAGTGAGAATTTTGTAACTGTGTAGTTGTTTAGCCAAGTTGATGTATCAAGACCATTTCAGACAAAGCAGAATTGGAAACAATTCTCCTGATTTCTCTCTCTGCATGATGTCTGTGCTCTGAGGTCTGTGTTTACCATCTGCTCCGAGCTCAGGCTTCCCACTCCAGACACATCGTGAGCCTCTCGACAGTCAGCACGAGGGAACAACGGGGTGGTGGTTTAGATCCCTCATGAAACAATGACAAAGAAACTTGCATATAGATTTTTTTTTTCCTGATACTCGCAGTGTGTTGCACTCGAATGGCATTTTTTAGTCCCTAGGCAGTATAAACTAGCTGCCAGTTCCCAAAATTTCTGTGCCCCAAATACAATTTTCAGCTGCTCCTGCAAGAGGGGAAGCACTGGCATTGAGCCAAGTAGCTTTTCTCCAAGATAGGTTTCACCAGATGCAGTTTAGGGCCTTAAAACACTAAGTGCTTTGTTTCATATAATCCCTGGCTGGCAATTCAGGAATGAAGACACTTAGGGCACAATATTCTAACACATAAAGATACATTTAGGGAACTAAATCCCCGTTTAGGTAACTATAGAAAGAATAACCAAGTCTAAAAGCTTGTCAAGCTTGTGTTCATGTGCCCATTTGGTACTAACACAAGAAATGCTGAATTTTGCTACTGAAGAGGGCATTCCTGCTGCCTTTATAATCAAAAATTCATACTTTTCAGAGATGGCTTCAATAGTTTTTCAGGGCCACATGTATGTCATTTTAAGAACATGGTTCAGTTTGTTATTATTATTTTATAATAATTTCCCTGCAGTGGGTTTATGCCACACAGTGCACAGATAAGGCAATACAAATTCCACCCAGCAAGTCACTTTGGAGATTCTGAATCTTAGATCAAGATTTCCAATTTCTCAGAAAAGCTCAGCTTCATACATTTAAAGGATGGGGAGAGTGTTACAGGGTTTGACTTCCATCATAACACAATCCTTGGCATTTTAACAAGGCTTCTTTAACAACAAAAAGAGATTGGCATAAAGGGAGCAGCATTTTTCTCGTCCTAAAAGATTTTTAGAACACAGATTTGATCAGAACAGCTTCTTTCAGGGTAGCCAGTGAATTCAGTCTCTATACGCAATACACTCATTTGACAAAAGCATTTTGGAGGACCTTTGTGCCACAAGAATATCCAGACTTAGAACCATGATTAATTTTAGAACTTTTAACTGCAAAGATTTAGAAAGGATGAAAAAACCTTTTTGCTTTTATTAGCAGGCAGCCTCAGTCAGCCCTTTTGCACCTTCTGATCCTGAACTCACAGTCTGTCACTTGGCATTGCAAGACCCTGTTGCCTGTTAAGAAGGAATTATTTCTCCATTTCCAGACCACTGAACTGCAAAGTGCCAGCAGGACCAACCTGTCTCCCTCACACACAGTGCTTCCCATTGACCTGCAACATGAAGCCCTGAGCTTGTCATTATGACAGAAGCCAGCAGTGGTTTCATAGTGTTTCCAAGAGAAAAATCACAATAATTTTCAACAGGTACTACGAGGTACTGTAAAACATAATACTCAGTTTTATTAATACTTTAAAAAAGATGTGTAAAGACAACCAAAACACGGTCTCACAATTTACAATCTGTACATTATAAAAATACATCTCTCGCTAACTCGGAGAAAGAGAACAGCAGTATGTACAACATGACTTTATCAGTCCAGACAGGGTCCTGTAACATTCATCTGCCTGGCTAATATTTAGCACATTCTCAGATTCAGTCACAGTAAAGTGCAGCTGCAGAATATGTGCCTGAAGGGGCATTTGTCATCCCAAGCTTAGTTAAGAGAAGCCAAGACAAGGGTTCACCGTCGATGTGCGCGGCTGGAGCGCCGCAGGCTGATGGGAACATCACACAAGATTTGGCTCAAACTACCTCCCATTCAAGCAGCTCAAAAAGGAGAGTATAAATGAGATCTTTTATCCATGACTCTGGCTAGAGAGAAGAACCACGCAGATAGTCAAGAAAAATACCACATTCTAATTACATTCATATTCTCCACAGAGTTTTTCCACCTTACTCTCTATTCTTTCACGCACTATGTCTGATCCCCTGCTCTCAGAAACAACCAACAGACCTTCCTCCCTTCTTTCTTTAATTTGTCCACTTTCTATCCCTGCTGTCAAGATCCTTCAGGCACCGAAACAAGCAGAGGAGTGTAACTTGCTGGAAAGAACATAAAGATTGTGGGTTTGAGCTGTTTAAATTGGGGACTTTTAAAACTTGAGAGGTTAGCTGAGAGATTCTAGTTTGCACAGATACTTGGGTCACTATTGTCAGTGCTTTTTAGCAGAAGAGATTTCAAAGGAGTGGCTGAGCTAACCCTGAGCTAACTGTGAAGGAGAGACTTCCCAATTTGTGGCATATCAAACACTCCTAGCCTTTTCTATCCCTTTTTATTGTTCTTTTCTATCCCTTTTTGTTGTTCTGTTTCAGACTGTATCTGACAGGAAGCCAGAACTCTAGTACTGACCTGACAATTGTCTCTGTACAATTGTAAGTTCTCTCCATGTTCACAGAGCAGAAATGAAGGAAAAAACCCGAGACAATTGGTTTGCTGCTGTAGCTACAGGATGAGTATTTGGCCCACATGTGACTGAGACCAGCAGCATAGACATGATAATGCTTTGAAATGCATTTTTGTCTGGTTTTGCCCAGTTATTCATGACTGTACCAGAGCACCACATAAACCACATACAGTAGTGAGATCACTGTCAAGTAGAAAATCGATGCCTGTAAACATTTATGCTGCCAGCTGCATTTAAGAAATTAAATCTCAATCCAGGTATATGAATTTACAGTTCTCATTTGAGACAAAGTAAAAACCATCAAAGATTGTCACTTTGAGGATTTTTGTGCAATAAACTGAAGGTATTTGTATGTATTTGGATTTTTGTGATGTCAGAAAAATCCTGAGTAGTTTTTCAGTTTTAATTCCTTTCTTCTTATTCTTTCTTTTTCCCCCAGTTTTTTTTAAGGATTCTGTAACAAACAAGTGATAGAAAATATCTTTCTATACCTTAAGACAGCACTGATGATTAGCATCAAGAAAAGAACTGCTTCTAGATTCTCGTGGATAATCTTCCAATATCACGTTTTCTAGGACTGATCATTCTTTTTTATGCTCCTTATCTTAATGCTTCAAATCAGCCCATACACACAGGTGGAATCTGTAACACTGGGCTTTGAAAGTCCAAAATCATCAGACCAAAGTTGATCAGTTACCACTAGCACCTTGAAACAATCAGATTTGATCTATCACTGCTTCAGGTGTTGCAGATTCAGCAGCTCTCAGGCTGCTCTTTGGTGAATCAGTGGTGGAATTTTACACTGTCAACATCCTGGTGGTTCCTGGTCTCCTTTAATGGTGATCACAATATCCAGATGTTCTTTTCATCTATGAAACTTGATGTTGCTTAACTCTTCATCACTTCAGTAGGAATACGACTGGGTCTTTGAATAGCATTTTAAATGACCTTTGAAAATTCGAACTTTATAATTCACCTAATTTAAGCATCACTTAGAAACTTAAATGTGACCTTTTTTGCAACATGAAAATCTGCCACCGATTCCTAAAGCAGCAAAAAGATAGGAAAGCACAGAGGACACCTTCCCCTCTTCTTTATGATACCTGTGAAATGATGAAAACAGAATATTAGATATACACCCCCCAGCCTAAGCACCATTAAGGTTACCAAAATCAGATATTTGATGAGCTCTGTAAACAGACAGCAGTGACTGGTAGGTGCTGCATGTCTCAAGGTTGGGAGACAGGACCCAGACTCACTGCCATTACTTCTCCTCAGTGCTAATGCAGAGTCTCCTCACAGTGATCATATCCCTAATGCCTTCTTTCCCGAGTAGGTACAGTCATCCAACAGGACAAAGAGTCAGTTGACTGTAGGCTATTAAGGACCACAACAACTTTTCACTGCTGCTGTATAAAGCCAGCCTGTGAAGCTGCTGTGGCACCTGAGTCTTCCACAACCTGCAGCCTGGTCAGTGCCATATATACAGCCCAGTCTACATCTGGTGATTAGTGCACTGAGAGCAGAAGTCAGGCAAGAGCTCAGCTCACAGCACAGTTTAGGGAGCCACTGGCCACTGCAACCATTGCCAGCCCTTTCAAAGCACAGCTCATGCAGCTGGTGATCTCATGGTGATGTGTTTTCTTGCCATCTGAAAGAAAACTGAAGGGCATCTGGTATCTGGCTGGACCCTGGCATGTCATTCTTCACTGGGATCATTTCACTGATGCATCCTGAGAAATTTTTTTTAAGAGCAAGAGGAAGCATATGGCAGAAAGCTGGGAACAGAAATCCTGCACAAATCCCTAACATCCCATGCCAGCTGCAGCTCCTTCAGTCCAGGAGCATCAAGGCAGTCAGATCCCGGTGATCATTGGCAAACTCATTCAATTATTAACAATGCAATTATTTCAGGGATCTTCGAAACTGTGTTGGCAGAATCAATGAAGTGACTGCCAGTGGCTAAACCACACTATGAGACTGAGAACAAGGAATGTGGAAACAAGTGGTTTGCTCTGAGTACAATCTAGGTGCAGTTTCATAGTGAGACAAGCAGCTGTTGAGGATTTGTATTAAACACAAGAAAACTGAAAAGACTTCCTGAAAATCAACACGAAACAATCTCTGCAGAGCGCAGAACTCATCTATTAAACATGAGAAGTACACAGAGCTTTAGTTTTTCGCAACAGAAAAGAGAGGGTAAGCAAGGCAGCTGCCAGTCACTGAACTGGGCTGAACTGGGAGGTCTGGGAGAAGTCCACTGTTCTTAGTGTAGCACTTGCAGTCTGCTAGTGCAGGTGCCAGGGAGATGGGGGATGCAAGGTGAGTGGGGTAAAAGGGACCTTGATGTGACACTGATCTGTGCCACTCTAGGGCAGCGTCTCTGTCCTTGTCCATGTTTCTGTTTCTATTACCTTTGTGGGATCCTCTGAATCTACACACTGATCCTAGAGTCCAGCTGCTGAAGGTATTCAAGAATTCCATGGGGAATGGCGGGATTCCACATCCTGCAAGGGCAAATTCAGAAAGGAAAGAGATTTTAAGAAGTGTAATTTGCTTCATGGTGTTTTTGGTGTGTTTGTTATGTTTGTGGCTTTGTTGTTGTTGCTGTTGTTTGTGTTTTGTTTTGTTTTGCTTTTTTTTAAAGTTGCCTTTCCCTTTGACTATCATGCTATAAAAGTATTTAAGCTGTGGAACAAAGGAAAATGCATCTTGATTTAGAAAAAAGCAGCTCAGTTCTCCATAACCTTGCTGAGTCTGGTTACAGGACACACTACAGTCCTCTTTCTGTAAGTGTTCTTTAATTTTCCATCAAACTCCCTCTGAATGTGTATTGGCAACTTCAGTCTATTTAACCTGTAGTGGTGGTTGCTCATTGTTTATCCTCCAAACACAAGTCCTGCAGCACAGAGTAGTTTGAGGTCTATCGGAGAGTAGAAGATTAACAAAGGGAGGCTTAATGTAAACTGTGCTTAAGGCAGGACAAACTTGCCTGGGACCATTGGGAAGTAATTCAGCTGAAACCAGAGACAACTTTTTAACATCACTGTGGCTGCTTTTGTGTTTTGGTGATGTCTCTTTTTGTGACTCATCAATCTCACAAATACAGAACACAGCTTTAGCATGATTTCTACCCCAGTTTTACAGAATGAAGGTGCAGCAAACAGCCTATCAAGAGACTTACACCAAGTTCTTTATGTGGGGACATTTTCGTAGGCTGTTGGTCAACTGCTGGGCTCCCACACCGGTTATTTTGTTGTACTGAACACTGAGGAATAAAAACAACTTTGTTAATCCAGATCACATCATGTAGTGGTGCAATCCAACATTCAATTCAAAATCAAAAATACTGTATAGGCTAACCTGCAGATGGGGAAAGAAAGAAAAAAAAACCAAAATAGATTCTTAATTCAAAAACCCCGTAATAATGTACTCAAAAGGTCAAACAGGACCTTAACTATGTTAGTTCATCTGAGGGATTCCTTTTTCTATGTACCTGAGGTCCTTCTCCAACTCCCCATGACCCTATTCTCCCCATCTGAACAGCAATATTTTTGCTTTTATGGTAAACTACTCCTTAATCTTCTCTAGTCACTGACTGTTTGGACTCTGCATGAGCACATTTTCCCTGTGAAATTTCCCTGAAGTTTTCTTCCTCAATTTCTGTCTCTTCTAAAGCCAAGCATGGGACATTTGAATTTTCAGTCTCCAAGGAAGTAAGCTTTCCTGGGCTATTTCAAAAGGTTTCATACTCACTCTAGCACTCTTAAAGATGTCATTGCAGGAAGAACTTTCGCCAGATTTTCTGCTCCAAAATCACTAATGTTGTTATTGTACAAGCTGTAGAAAACCAAACCAGTATAGTCAAAACTGAATAATGGATAATGTAAACAGACTATATATTAGATCAAGGGTTTTCAAATACTTTTAGAGCATTTTAGCTTTCAGTTTGTGCTTATTTGCATTTAAAGTTTAAAACACAACTTCATATTCCCGAGATATCCTTCTATATGTCTGCACTGGGTCAGAATTTTGCTCCTCTTCTTTCCAAAGACTTTATGCAAGAATGAAGTCAAAAGCTTGGGTGCTGCACAGTGTATATGTTTGTTCCATGTTCAGTAATTTCTGACAGAGACAGCAGGGTATGTTGTATAAAACAACTGGACAGGATACACCACTTACCTTAGTGTTTTTAAGGAAGACAAGGAAGGAAGAGCTGTCGCGAGTTTCTCCGCACCCATGTCTGTTATTTTATTCTGTGATAAACTACAGTAAGTGAGATCACTGTGTTAGTTGAGCACGTTTATTCTAATTTATTCCAATGTGGGGAAAATTAATTTTCATTTTTTAAAATATAATTTGGGCAGTCTGTTTAGACCAAAGGAGGAGAAAAAGACAAAATACAGCCCTTGAAGGGCAGTGAGGAATTGCCATAGGATTATCCTATTTCTCTAATGAATATACAGATTAGTTATCCCCATAGACTCATTTGGTCTTCCATGCCAATGGAGTAGTTGTGCCCGTAATTGTTAACACACAGTCCCTTAAGGCTCTGGGTTTAATTTATTTCTTTTCAAAATTTCCCAGAACTGTTACACTTGGACTTACTTTAATGTTTCCAGAGATGTCAGGGTTGGAAAGACTTCAGATAGACTCTTTGCTCCTTCATCTCCTATGCCATTTTCACTCAGAGCGTCAAGGCTGGGTGACAACAAAAAGAGAATTAGCTCCCCTTTTAATCTAAATTTCTGTGGTTTATTCACCTCAGAGACCACTCTATCTATCTTGAAAAGCTCCTTCTCTGCAGTAGCCTCAATCAGCATGAAGCATCACACAAATTACAGCTTCTCTAATAAGCAGCTTTCTGCTGCCCGAATTTACAGCCTAACAATTTTTTTTTTACTAGTTGAATGGCTTGACCCATTTCCTTTGATATGCAAGATTATTAAAATGGTTATGAAATAGCTGTGCTCCAGCTAAGCTGAAATGAGATTTCTTGTGCACACAGAAATACAGAACTGACAAAATCCAGCAGAGGCTGTAAATCCCTGCCTAAACAGATCCTTCTCCAGAGTGGGAGTATTAGAAATTAAGTTTTTCTTCATATCTAGTCACAATTTTAGATACTGGATCCCCTTCTAATCTGACAGGTAATGCTGGGATATATTGGACTAATTTCAGTCTTAAAGCTTTATTGTTTTCCCAAAATATCATGAAAAGGTCGGCTCCAGTACAGACAAATGGCCAATGGGCTGAGCCAGTGAGGCCAAAGGCCCTCTCAAACCCCAGCAATCTTCCCCCAGACACCATGGCAGAGTATTGGCTATTGTTGGTACAATTGTTTCAGTGTAAAGAAACTTAAAATTAAGAGGCAGTTGGTTTTTCATGGACAAGGGCACGTTCTGGAGCTTCAAGGAAGAAATAAGTGACCCTCAGGCAGTGTTGATCAGTGCTGTGGCAGGAAAAGGGGAGCACCCAGTGGGTCTGGACTAAACTTTTCCCACAAGCCAAGGAACACCCAGGGAAGTGACTGAGAGTACTGAATGAACAACCACCAAGTGTCCCAAGGGAGGCTGAAGAGCTTTTCATCTGCTGTTATAGTCTCAGGATGTTTCTGCTGTTCAGTTTGTTCATCAAAGCAAGGAGTCTTGTTGGCAAAGAAAAAATCTTTCTCGGGTACAAGAGCTCCCCCATCATCAAGGGCTGCTGAGGAGCAATGGTGGCAAAGTTGATGTTTAGCAGAACTCACTCTAAATGCTGAAGTGATGGAAATGCTGCAAGAATTTTCACGAGTTTTAGCAATCCCTGAGGGCCACACGCTGGACCCAGCCTGGAAGAAAATACAGATATGCAGCAGTTTTTTCACATGCTCACAAACAGCAAAGTTTAGGAATCCTTAAGTTCTTTCCCTGCAGCCCCCAGCTGTTTACACTCCTCAGAAGCAATTATTCCCTACCACCTGCAGCAAGGAATTCTGCTGTGAAGCCTCCAGATGAGGAGCACACAAGGCTAAGGCCCTTAGAAATCACAGAATCAGTGGTACCTGCATTTGCCACTTTTTTTGTTCCTCTTTGCAAAATTCATCTCACTTTTTTTAGATTCCTGTATTTCTGTTCTTTCTCTATCTTTCTCAGGTTTTTAATTTCAAGTACAATCTTGATAACTGAGATTTAAAAAAAATATTTTTTGCCTCAACTGTTGGCAATTCAGACTAACTAAAAATCAACCTTTTACTGCATCTTAAAGCATAAATTGCACTTTGATATCCATGCTTGCAACATTTGTCCCTCAGATCCCAACCTCTGATTTGGAGTTTCTTTGGTATCAGAACAAGTTTAATTAAAAGGATTAGAATTTTAGACAAAATTTAAATAAAAGTAAATAAGAAGAGGAAAGGAGAAGAGAAAGCAGCATAAAATCAGAAGTGAGGCCAAGCATAGCAGTGCTAGGTTGGGTTAGATCTGAAGAGCAGGAAACAGATGAAGACCTGCTGAGAGTTCTCCATTGCACTGCTGCAATTTCTGCCCAAACTAATTCACAGCCTATGGCAAGATATTTTAAGCAATAGAACAGCCTTGGAGGCTGCTTGAAGTTTGTGGGGAAAAAAGAAATGTTACTGAACACTTATTTCAAAGTAAGTGTTTCCAAGTCAACCTTCCTTCTTCTAGGAAAAGGGTGCTAAATAATTTATTTGGGAGGCATTCTCTGACATAATTCTCTCATGGCCCAAGCTCTGTCAGGGTAGAAAATTACATCAGGAGACCTAGATAGAAAAGTTGAGCATTTCTGGGGGAAAAAATATTCCCCAGGTAGCTGGATCACGATCAAGACATTTTATACCCCATGGCACAAGATCTACACCTGTTGGTAAGGAGCTAACTTGTAGTAAAATTGAACAAAATTGATAGAACCTTCTTGATCTGTATCACTGCAGGAGCCAGAAATGATGCTTTCTGAGTTTTGGCCATAATTTAATAAATCTAGTTAAGAAAAGCAAAATAAGTTTTCTTAATGCTTTACCATAAACTAACTATACATCAGTGCAAGGAGTGCAGCCAATATCCATGACTTCTCCTTCTTCAATGTAATCCTATCAATCAGCAGAGAGGTACAACACTTACGCAAATTCGAGTTTTCTGAGGTTTTTGATGGCAGGAATTTCATAGCTGGTGGAATCAGATGCATCTTGCTCACTAAATAAATCACAGTAGAACCAGGGTATGATAAATATTTGAGCAACAAAAACAGTGCTTTAAAATAATTTGTTAGTAAATTTTTACAGGAAATAAACAATTGCTGCATTAGCTGAGGAACCAGGAAACTTCAGAATAACTTCCGCTCCAACCTTTCTTCAATTGAGTAATTTCAATCTGATAATTGCCTTTCATAGTGCAGTTATTTGCTCTTTTTCCAATAAAACTTAAAAATACATTTTTCTTTATCAACTATTTTCTGTAAGACATGAAATTATTTTGTATATATTTTAATCAAAATACTCTGCACATCTTTAAATGGGAGTCATCATTTAAAAAACAAACCAAAACCTTTATTTCTGTGTGCTTTTAAATGCAACCAGTCCCCTAGCCCCAGTATGAGCAGGGATGAAACCCAGGGTTTATAGACCCAAGCTTTCACCTCCTGGGCTAAAAGACTGACTCAGGCCATATGTGACTAGTGCAAAACAGGCTTTCATTTATGGCCCAGGGGAAAGAATCAACCCAAGTTATGCAGCTGAAAGCAATTGAAAGATGGCCCACTTGAAGATTGAAAAGAAATCTGAAGAAAAAATGACAGCTGGCCTTTTTATTGGCAGTTTTGAAGAATATTCGGTGTGGTGCTGTCATTGCTCCTCCCTGCCACAACAGCCACCTCACACCAGGGTAGAAGAACACCCTGACGTGATACAAGAGCTTGCACTGCCTGAGTTACTTCTCCTTTGGAGAAGCAGAGAACTCTGTTGTCCAGCAACTGTTGTTCAGAGAACTGTGTTGTCAGTGAAACCCCATTTTCTGAAATTGCTAGCACAACAGGATTTCTGATCATAACTGAGCCTACCAATTCACCATCTTCTCTTGGATCTCTACAAGGTCGGAGAGGTCACGGATGTCCTTCATTGTCTTTGCCTTAAAGGGATCAAGAACAAATTTCTCTGCTGATGCTTTCAGCAGCTCGTAGTCTTTTGACTGTTCTAAAGACTTCCAGAGCCTGACAGTGTCATTGAGGGAGGCCCTGTGAGGTGACAAAACATACAAAACCAACAGATGTGACAGCTGTCATTGCATGAAGATGTCATCTAGAGACAGTGCTATGAACTACGTACAGAGAGTGACCAACCTGAACGACGCCACGTTCTTTAGGCTCACCAAGTCTTTGAGCCCTTGCATGTCAATGCTGCTGTTTCTCAAATCCAAGGAAAACTCCTTTCTTGACCTTTTTAAAATAGAGTGCAGTACATGGACGTCGGGTGGGGTAAGGACTATGTTCAGAAAAGACAAGTCTGACTTGAGTCTTAGGGCCACGTGCTGCAGGAGGTAACTGCTTTGCGTTTCATAAACACAGCGTAAAAGCTCCAACAGCCTCTCTGGACAGAGATCATTAATCTGCAGCCTTCTAATGTATTTCAAGAGTTTATTCTTCTTCTTCACTGGTTGTATTTCATCCTGATTTGAAAGGGAGCAGAAGTAAGGGTCATCCTGGAGAAACAACAATCCAGCCAAAAATCGAGGCACGAAATCTAACCAGTGATAGGGTTTTTTCCTTTTGGATGGAAAAGACAGGTACTTTATTACACTTTTATCCTTGAGCTCTTCTGCTAATGAAAGGTGAAGTGCACACAAGAAGTTCTGAATGACAAAATCAGAGAATGTGCTCCCAAATTCCTCTTCTTCACTATCTGAATGTGTGGGGAATGCGAATGGCAGGAAAAATCCATATTTCAGAGCAAACTCTTTAACTTCTTTAGAAGGAAAAAGATCACTTTTCATGGCACTTTGGTGCTTTTCTCCAAGACACCAGGCTATATGGGCTAGGGTAGCAAGATTCTCTTGATTTTGTGTGGTTGTAACATCTGTTTGCACAGGTATTATCTTCTGCTGAAAAAATTTCAGGAAGACTGCAGAAAGAGTTGAAGGAAGGCTTTCCTCTCCCATTTCAAGTACCACATCACAAAGAAAACAAACAAATCTACACATACCAGGGCTGTAACAATGACTGAACAAGTACTCATGGTCTTTGACTAATTTCAGTGCACTGTCACAGTGGGGTAATCCTTCAAAGTATTTGGTTATGTACAGTTCTCTCTGCTCAGGGGAAAATCCTACTATTTCAATAGTCTTATCCACTTTGGACACGTAGTAGTACACCTTGTCTTTTGGTCTTGCTGTAAATAATAAGGTACAACCATTGAGTATTTTTCTTTGGATGAGTCCTGAAAGCAGCTCCTTTATACTGTACAGATCTTCGTCAGGCTCGCTGGCTGAGCAACGAGGAGAATTCTCATGGTCATGCAATCCTTTAAAACCATCAAAAACCAGAAGGACTTTAGCAGGATTTTGCAATATATACTCAAATATCTCTTTGCTTCCCTCCTGAGGTTTTACAAAAAATTCAAGAAGCAGTTCCTTCAGGCTGTATCGCTTCTCAGGCAAGCTTATTTGTTCACAGTCAAACCAAAACACAAATTCAAACTCAGAAAACTCTCCATTGGACCAGTCCTGGCAGATCTTTTGAACAAGAATGCTTTTGCCCATTCCTGCTTTTCCCAGCACCAAAATCACTTTGGTCTCTAAGCCTTTACGTTTTGGGATTTGAAATATTTGGCTTCTGTCGATGGCTGTCTTTTCCTTCTCGTGCAGACTGCAAGTCACCAGCTGGTTTTCTGTTGTTTTTGCACTATTCCTCCCAGTCCTGGTTTCAGTTTGGCTTTGAACAAGTGTCCCATCAATAAACAGGTGATCCAGCGCTACCTCACGCTCCAGGGTCACAAACTTGCACATGTCTCGGAAATAATCCTTAAGTGAAGTGCAGAAAGTTTCCACCAGCTCTAGAGAAATAGAAAAGCACACACAAACTGAAGACACCAGTCCATAAATTACAACATCATTTCATAGTTCTTTAAGTACTATGGTAATATGGTGAAAATACATCCATCTCCCTGAAGCCCATAGGTCTGAATTTATCCTATGCAGCCGCAGGTTAGAAGTGCAGGCACAACAAACACTTTTAAAACTATGAGCTGAATAATTTTGGAGCTATCTACACAGATAATAAAACAAGCTAAGCACACTGACCTGCTAAATAGGTACTACAACTATCTAAAACTATCTAGATATATAAAGGTAGTCAAGTCTAACATCATGAAAACAGGAATTGTGCCCAGACCCTCAGAAGAGCTCCACAAATTGTGGAATGATGATTCCTACAACAAGTAGCTTTTCTGTATGAAAAGAGGCACAGAGTCTCTTTCCAAGAAATACTGGAAGGTTTAAGTTCAAGAGTTCTAAACTCACCTCGTGTTTTGAAATCGTCTTCAGGAGGAATTATGGAATCTTGAACTTCTTCAAACCTTTCTACATCTGGAGGAACAAAACCATATACTTGAAGAAGACACCAAGATAGTAATTGAGTTAGTCTTACTAATTTTAACAATACGACTGATGCAAATTTTTAAGTTCATTGCAACATATATCCAGAGGAAGAGATATTTGGTTTACTTTACAAGGAAAAGGGAAGAAGTCCTCACACAGGTAGGATTCAGCTGATGAGCAGTTGCAGACAGTGTGGCACCAAACAAGCTGACGGTGGCATGAAGCAGATCTATCATTGCAAGGTGACATCCAGAGTTCTTTTAAATGTCAGTGTTTTGAATAAATTCACATTCACACACAGTGCTTCTCTATGTCTTCAAAAGCAATTGCTTCCTTTGGTTATTCTACACCTTGTAACCAAGCACTGAGGATGAAAGTCACAGTGAAGTGACTATTGGTAACAGAATTTACCCATTACTTTTGCTGGCAAAGTCCTGTTGCTGTCCTATTTTCTTTCATTTTGCCTGTTTGCTTTCAAACTTTTGCACATGGGTCAGATGAGCAGTGTCTGCTTTACACAATGAAATTGGGAGTTTTTCAGAGAGACCATATTTTCTACAGGCTGGTAATGACAGACTATCAGTTTTTGCAAAACTCTTGGTAGGCAAAGCTTTGCAAATGCAAGACAGAATTTAAATTGATAGAGACTGTAACAAACCCAACCTCTTAGTCTTGGAACTACATGCAGCAGAGATCTGCAAAAAATCCCCCAAGTCAAAACAGGTTAATCTCCCTAAGTTTGAACAAATGCATTTCATACTATATCATCATCTTGATGTAGAATGTGGTTTAAAAAAATACAAATCTTAGAGTTTCAGAGATCTGAAAATTAATTCCTACTCTGCATGCCTTTGGAATGGTTTGAGTTCAGAGTTGTTTCTAGCAGGGAAGCACCACAGACTTCTAATAAGCAAGTCCTTACTTCAGTGAAAGAATACATTTGATACAAAGATAGCTCTCCTCCCTGTAGAAGAAAAATCAATCTAAAATATTACATAAAGAAGGGTCGTTTTCAGGCAACTGTCTGGTTTTGGTTTACTATTCATTTTATTAAATTAGAAAACAGAATGGAAAACCCAAAAAGCTGTAATGAGACATTTAGATGAGAAACCGGTCAAATCAGTCAGGAGTGAATAATTTTTCAAAAAGGAAAAGACACTGGCTTGGAATGTTCTGTGCTAATTTTTCTGCTGCATTTGGAATTCTGAGGCTTGTAACATGCATATGTTGTGCTGCTGTAAATCAGTTGGAATTATCAGCATTGTGTATTCACATAGGCAGTACATATAATTTACAAAGACTGCCCCAAACCTAGAGATGTTTGCCTCTTATTCCGCACTTTATGCTTTTGCGGTGGTGGAAGCCACCAGAGGGCAACAGAACCCCTGCACTGGGCTGCTGCAGCTGCAGGGACCAGCAGCTGAACACGGACATCAAACTCCGGCTTCCAACCCCGCTCCGAGGGCTGGAAAAAGTGTCTCAGGAAAGTTTGATGCCGTAGGTCGGACTGTTATATCCTGACCAAGGCTCTGACTTCTTTATAAGCCTTTCTGTACATTAGGCTTCTGTATTGTTCAGTTAAATAAGTCCTCACAGTTTGGGTTTTGAGGCTTCCATGTGAGCTGGGTGCAGTCTGGCTTCCAGCACTGAGCATTGTCTTAACCAGACAAGACTTACTCCAGAAACTGGAGCCTCACAGCAAACACAGAGGCTGCTAAAATACAGTTGAACCTGTAGCTCTACAACCCCTTATCTGCACTTTATTTTGGATTAGATTAAGCAGACAATGATCAATACAGAAAAGGTAATGCCATCAATTTTTAGTTTCCTCAATAAGATCAATATGAGTAGAGCCTGGAGAGGAGAATTGGCTTTGAGTAGAAGAAATATGGCCCCTCTATCCGTTAAAAGTGCTGTACACATATAAAAATCAATTTTCTACTTACCAAATGAATTAACTGGAAAATCTGGGGATATGAAAGTTTCCATGGAAGAAGTAAACACTGGTAAGAAACAGATAATAGCTTTTAGCATATCACAGCTATCAGTAACTGAACTTAGTACTTTGCTAGCAGCATTGATTTTTCAGTACTTTATGCCTATTTATGTGGACAAACGGCTATTGCTCTTACCTGGATATATTATAAAATCAGATATGCCATTTTCAAGAACAAAGTTAAGTAACTGCTGAGGAGGATCTGCAAAGCCTGGATTGTCCTGGCTCCCTTTCACACTGACAGGTAGAAGCCCTGCAGTCCAAGGTTCTGAAGATCCTGAAATGAGTGCAGAATAATTACTATTCTGTTTTTAAAACTCCTGGTTTCTAAAGGTTTCTAAGAGAAAAAAAGCTTTCTAAAAGTTACTTATTCTTTATACAGCTTCTAGGCAAATATTTATTGTGGAGAATTCTTAGGATCACAAGAGGTCCATAGAACCCATTAGAAAAAACACTCTTAAAAGTGAAATACAAGAGATTACCCAGCTTTTAGTGACCACTGGTTTTCAACAGTCTAAAAAGAAATTCTATTAATACAAGGAAAAGTGCTTAAGGCAAAGTCTATCAACATATAGACAGTGATCCAGAAGAGAGAAGACATGAAAATAGTATGTGCAATTATTTTACCATCCTTTGCACTACATCCCACCTAAGTGAACATCATGCAGGTTGTACTAGCAGCCAGCCAGCATCCCCCCTCCCAACCCACTCTGGGTAATTTTTCTGATGATTCAATGCTTGCAATTTAATCACCCATAGCTCTGAGTTTCTGTAGGTGTGACAGAATTTCCTCTGATGCTTTATGCTGCTTTAGCTAGCATCACATACTTCAAGACTTCCAACTTATACACTGTTTTGGTTCCTTTCCAGCATAGATTTAACAGTGAAAGGTGTTGAACTGTGTCCTGGTCACTAGCTTTTCACAGTGTACTGTGAGCACCCTCTGCTACACAGCATGACCAAGGCCAGGTGGCTGCACAGCCCATTGCTACTCAGCTTTTATGAGCTCAATTACAACCTAGATTTTGCTCTACTACTGCAAATGTAATTATCCCTCAATCCTTTACAAACCTCCGAGTGAAAAAGTAATTGGAACTAAATCAGAGTTTATTAATGGAAGTTCTGTGACTTCTATTCTTAAAACAAGTAGAGAATTACTTAGATTAGCATAGAGTAAATAACTGTTCTCTTATAACCTGCACTTCATCAATTAAAAGAAGGATTCCTTCCATTTCATTGGCAGCAATGCCCTTTAATTCCCTTGAATGTTTTCATTCTTTCAGTGAGTGCCACACGTTTAAGTGTTTGATTGAGACAGCTGCCATACTTGGTTTTCCTGCCATTGTTCAGGGTCAAGATTTAGAAGAGAGTTTCCCCTTGTATAAATGAACCTCTGTACAGGTGCACACCTGTAGCTGTGTGTACGTACCAGGAATTAGGAAACTTTCCAACCCATAGGCAGCAGGAACAGAAAAGGACAAGTGCTGGTTAGTCAGTGAGGTGCAGCTCACTGGCAGGCTGTTGAAAGGCAGAGCTAAGAAACTGCCATTCTCTGCAGCCACTGCAGGCACTTCCACTTCAAAATAAAAAAGCAAAATGAAAGGAGAAAGTTATCTCATTGCTGGAAGTTAAAGGGACCAGAGAAGAGATGTCAACAGATATCATAAATCACCAGTCAGTAAGAACAATTCACGATAGCCTTCTGGAATATACCCAGCTCTCAAAGCCTAGAATGTGTTTTTTAAATTCTGTAGTGGATCTGTTTTTCTTCTGAGTAGTTCACCCTTTAAATTTTCTTTTTCTTCATCATTCCTGGCCTGTCTTATTTCTAGACATCTCCAGATGTATCTATACGTAAATGATCTTACACATAGACAGCTGACAGATTAGACATAGCAAGGTCTGACATTAGCTGTGATAATTTCCCAAACACACTTTGTTATCTCAATATTGCATAAGAGCAGAGAGATCCAAGTGCAGTAAACTGAGGACCTTGACTCTCTACTGAGACACTACAGTGCTTGTGAGGACAAGTCTAAGAGGTTTCCCAAAGAACAGTCACAAACACCTGAATTTTAAAAGATGCATCTTCCCCACAGCACTCTTTTTTCTTCCAAGAATGGGACAAATGGGGAGAGAGACTCTTGCATTGAACAATTTCATCTGCTTATGGAAAGTTTCTTACAAATCAAGTAAGACACACTTGTTAATTTGAATTATTCTGCTAGTTTCCTTGGGTGTGCCACATCCTTATTCTCAGAGTTTTTTTGCTTTTTCCTTCCCTCTCCTGTCTAGCAGCAAAAAGTAAGTCTATATTTCATCACTTTCTGTGGTCTGATGTTTTCATCTAGAGCTACAGACCTAAGTGGGTTTTGTGCCACTATAAATTGCACTGTGTCTGCAATGCAAATCTTTTAGGGTGGGATGTGTTCACTTTGCCTATCAGGAACTGATGTATTATTTTGTTAAAGAATCTTTCATTTCTACGGAGGTATAAAACCAGATTTTAAAAAGTGTTTTTCAGCTCATGCTTAAATCAGTGGGATAAATTCCCCTGTAATTTCCTACCCAGAGACTGTTGCATTGCTATGATCAGATGAGAACAGGTACTGCTACAGCTATCAAAACAGTTGGGCAAACAAGCTTTACTTTTATCCAATTCCTTTGAAAGAATCTCATCCTTTGCTTGCCACTCTGAACTTCAGCACACATTATCCTCTTTACTGTACCCTTCTGAAGAGGTGATGCACTTACCTTTGCAGGATCACTCTGTGACACTCATTCATGACAGGGTAAATAAATTCCTGATTTTGTCAAGTAGCCAATCTTTTTGTCCATTAGATTTTTTGTACCCAGTACTTATACTGTCTTATGTATATATTCCTTCCTCAGCACCTTTAATGGATCAAGGAAGGTAGAGAGGCTGACAATATTCTGAGGATTTCCAGAAAAACACTTTGGAACACGAGAAAATATATGTTCCATAACCTTCTCCTATTCTTACTTACCAATTTTTCTGTATTTTGGTTCTGAAGCATCAAACCAATTCTCTGCAGAGCCTAAGAAGGCTGAAAGAAAGAAAGGTGAGAATAAGTGACAAAAATTGAACCAGTTTGGTAATTTTAAGTTTACCCCATGGAAACTTTTAACCCTTTAAACAGAAGGGGGTGTTATGAGTTTCAACTCAGCTCTTTCAGAACTGTGCAGCTCCAGTGCATAAACAAGAATGTGAAAAGCCTCATACTATTATTTCAGTCTGACTGTGAAGTTTTAATTAGGCTGCAGATTTTTGTGACACTCAAAGATTTTTGCTGTTGTCCTCGCTATTAAAGAGGGAATTTTTCAGCCAATACTTGCTAAGCTATAGATACAATGAAAAAGAAGTTAACACTGTCACATGGATGATAAAAATGTGAAGAAATAGATCATGCTTAATGTCATGTCACAGGGCAACAAATTCTGTGAATTGTAAATCCTGTGCTTGGAAGAGCTGTTTTCAGTTCCTGCCCACGCACCACGAGCAGGGGCAGAGGAAACACATCTGGTTGAATGAGTGAAGAACTGCATGAGAAGTGCATTGGGGCTGTGCTAAAACCATGAAAGTTTAGAATTCAAACACTACAGCCTTCCAAATTCTTAATGTTCTTCACTTACTTCGTTTATGACACTTCTGCTTCTTTATGTCAGGAAATTTCTCAGTGTTTTCAGCAGCCATTTCATCCAAATTGAGGTTCCCTGCTAAAAATATGAAATATGGTCAAATGTCAACCTTTTTTCTCCTAGACAAATTACAGAAAGAAGTAAAAGCTAGAGAAACGCACCAACAGGCAGCAAAGATGGAATAGGCTCCAAATAAAAGATAAAAACCAAATCATGCAATAAAACATGTATCCAGATCCATATGATTTAGAAAGCCCACAGAACTCTGAATGCAGATTTTCTTACCATGTGTTAGCTTCTGAACTGCAAACTATTAATCTGCTGCCATAAATTCAGTGGCTAATAAAACATAAATACTTCTCAATGCTCTAGTGATGAGCAAAGGATCAAACATCACAGCCATGTCACATGTGATCTCAGTACAGGTAAAATTACTCAATTTATGTACAAAAGGGATTAGATCCTTTAGGAGACAGAGTAAAGGGTTCTGAAATGATTTTATACTTTGTGTTGCAAGAACTGTGAAGTTATCCATACCATTCTTCTACTGGCAAATACATAAGTATTAATACTGTATCTTGGGTTTTTTTTTCTAAAACCAATATAAATATTGTTATTAGGTGCAAAATCCCCCAAATTCTAGACACACCAGGGAGCAGTATAAATCATTTGAAAAGTCATGTGAGTTTACTGTAGCCAGAATTATTCTAGGGAAGGACTGACCTTTGGTAAATTAGTTCAAATTATTTTGCTCAAACATAAAACAGGATGTACAGGTATTGTGTGAATCTTTCTGATTCTATGGATTTCTCAACAGCCACACATTAATATACAGATTCCGAAATAGTAAACAGCTGCATTTTTGCTTCTACCTAAGCAATGATTTTGTCCCAGAAGCCAAGCAAGTGTCTCTGGTCAAGCACTTAATGAAGGAACAATTTATTATATGTATATTGTAGCATTATTGCATTGATCTGGGTGAGAAGTAAAACTTGACCTGCTCCCTGAGGCAGCTCCGTGCATCCTGGATGGAAATAAGTGTGTGTGAGCTGCATTTATAAACATGTTAAGTCTTCTGGCAACTCATGTATATCATCCCTGTTGTGCTCAGAGTAAATGTGATGCTACTTGGGGGCATTTACAGCACTGGACAGTTAAGTTGTGAACATGTTACAGCCATAGTGATGTCATCAGCAACTTGGTCAGAGACAAATCTACCATGTTTGAGAAAAGCCTTCAAAAATGCAGAAAATCCTTGTTTTTTCAAGAAAATCCTTGGACACTGTTCACAAGTGGAAAGAAGACACCACATATATATAAAACTTTACCAGTGTTTGAACTGTGAGCATGAAGCACATGTTAGCCAGAACATTATTATGGAGAAAATCAGTCTTTGTCATATAAATCTTACCAAAAATGTCTTCCACCTGCTTCTCCTGATGATCCTTGAGCACATATTCTACTAATTCAGCTGGCAACATGGGAAAGAAAAAAAGAGGAACACAGCAATGGCATCATAAATTCCTTGGTAAAACTCTTGTGAGCTTACCCTTATTAACAGAAATCTGCAGTTTAAGTAAAATTGAAGAGTTAAAATAAGTTTTTCTTGTAAATTGTTGTTCAGGAAATAAAGATCACAAGAAAGGAGAAGTTGAGACAGGAAGTATTAAGCAGAAGATGACATTAATAGAGAGATTTTCCCCCAACAGCCACAAGCTACTGTTCATCTGTTTCCCCACAATGCACAGGTTTAGGTACTCTGGTTAGATCTACCATGCATGAGGGACAGACCATTTGAGTATGTGCCACTGCTTCAGAGTGAAAATAGAATTTGTAAGGAACAGCTACAGCAAGTGATTGTAAAATAACGATTTAACACCCAAAATTACTTCCATACCCATTTTAGCATAAGCATCTGTGGTGTTGGAACAGAGACACGACCCATCTCCATTTTCACCATTTTCCATCGTACTCATGAAATCCATATTATTTAACTGTTCATAGTTGCTGGCATCAACTTCAAGATCTAAATAAGAATATGCATTTGCTTAATGAATACCATAACTAAGGAGCAAAAAACCCAGATAGCATGACATGCGGAACAGGCAGATTCATTGCTTCAGCATAAGGCTTTGGCTCTGCATTGTAAGTTGGCTAAGGAGGAACAGAACTGAACTCTCAGTAATTCACAGTCACCTGGAAATCAGCACTTTTCTTTTGATAAACTCTGAGACCTCATCTCTTCTAGTAAATAAAATAGTTCCTAAATCCATTCTGTGACATTAAAGCCCAGACTCATGAACACTATTAAACCTTCTGCTGCAGGATATGGTGGTGCCATCGAAATTCCCTGTTCAGAACAATGCTGTGTCCATGTACTGCAAATTGCCTGTGAAGCTTCTAGTTGGCCAGGGTCAAACCCATGCCTGGGACTGTGCTAAGACCCTCCCAGCAGAGATGTTAAGCTTCCTATAACTGGTGTCGTGTCCTGATGATGTTTGATTTACCTACATCACCTCAGACACTGCTAAGGCTCAAAAGTATTCAAATAAGTGAAACATCTCTGATAGCACAAGAGTCAGTCCTTGATCCCTAATTCATCCTACTTTCAGTCACTGAGCAAGTGAGGCCATGGGGTGAAGAAACAATCCTGCAGCTGTTATTAACAGTCAAGTTGAAAGAGAACAGCTCAGCCTGGGAAATAATCAATCACAGAGATGATTCCAGTACAGTATGTTTTGTTAGACTGACTGAGCAGGATGCTGTAAATATGTACAGTTTAAAAACACAACAGTTTCTGGAAGCAGTCACTATTGCATATACAGATGCAGACCAAGTTACCATATCATAACAGCAAGTGCCTGTTGAATTTAGCCCTGTCACCAAGATAAAGTGCCATCAGATGGCTTTGTGTCTGAGAGGAGATGGCAATAACTTACAGCATGAGCACTAAACTAACCAAGCATTTTTTAGTGTTTTACTAACCTGTAGTGAAGTCACCTTCTCCATCTCCAGATGGCTTAGGATCAAAGAGAGCACACAGCTGCAGTGGGTCGATGTCACTGTGCAATAAATCAAGGTAGCCATTCTCAGGCACAAAATCCATGGTTTGTCTCTTGCTGGCTGAAATCAAATTCCAAACCGTTAGCTCTGACAAAATCACAGCTTCTGCCAACCCAAACCACAACCCCTGCACTGTGGCTTTCTGTGGGCAAGACACTGAGATCTTCTGGGGAACTGCTACTGCTTAGACCTGCATTGAGTTATAACCCTGAGACCTTTAAACTTACAGACCCAGCCACAGCTTGCAGTGAGACTCACCCATCTTTCACTGCAGTCAGGGCACTGGGATGCTGCAGTCTGACCACCTGGACCAAAAATGCCAAGTATTGAATAAGTGGCAACTCCTGTATCTTATCAGGATATAAATGGAGCAAGCGCAGATCCAGCAGGTGTTGGGGAAATTAGAAGACTGCAGAGAAGATGGTGGAAGAAGAAGCCCATTCTTTACTGTCAGGACAATTTTGTCTCAGGGGAAGCAGCTTCTGGCTGGGATGCTACACTCAGTTCCTAAGCCCTGGAGGTGGCACTAGGAGACATCCCCACAGCACAAGAAGGAACAGTAAAGAGAAGACACTTATTTTCTACAATTCTTTCCCAAACAATATGGTTGATTGGATACAGAATGGCATGGTCACCTTGGGAATTAATTTCTGGACACATGGCACTCTCTGACATTTTGGAATCTATCACATTTATTTTTTAATCAATTCTCTTTCTAGTCCCAAAGTCATGCACAAACCTACTCCTGAGCTGGGAGTTGTTATGGCCTTCCAAGTGGAGTGTCAGACAATACCCAGACAAATCTGACTGACCTAAGGTGATCCCTGCTCCAGTCACCCCGTATGTGAGAGCTGCTTAGACTGCTGCAGCTACATTTCTTGATAAAGCTTATTTTTAACTCCACATTTTAAATCTCTTCTATTTGCTTCCAGTTACTGCAGCAGGTTTTAAAGAAGTTCAAACATTCCTTCTGGATATTCCAGAGGTGTAGAATAACACTACATGTTGGTTATTCATCATCTTTATCAGACTATTTCAAATCCAAATATTGGCTCTTCGGTGTTTACACTGATGTGAATGCCAGCTGGGCTGGCAATCTAAATGATTTACTCCACTGTAATACTGAGATGCCAGCATGAAACAACCAGCAGAATTTCCAGACCATATCCTGCTAAAATAGGTATCCATACATCACAACCATGAAAAGTTTCAGCTTGGTGTCAAGCACCATATTTTGCAATGAAGAATATCTAACAAATGCCTCTCAGATAATCTGCCCTTAGCAGAATTCCACTACCATGCCTGGTTGCACTTGTCTCCTTTCCTGAGGTGTGCAAACACAGAGCTGTACCATGAAGCTGACCTGCAACATGGAGAAAAACAGCTAATACTGCAGCTGTGATGGGAGAAGGCAGAGCAGACCCAGTCATCCACTACCACATGCTGCTTTTTTTTATAAACTAATCCTCATTCTTCTTACCGCTCCATGAGGTTGTCCCTCTGAACAGCTTGGGAATGAATACTTCTGAAAACACCAGAAAAATACTGCAGAAAACACCAGAATTGAGAGCTAAAACTTCAAAAAAGGGTGAACTCAGTGAGGTTCAAAGAGCAGGAATAACCTGCACTAAGGTAGTTCTCCTTTTTCATGTTTTGTGGCCTCACTAGGCTACCAAGATTACAAAAATTTGATATTATTGCCTGGCATGCTATAAATGGAAAGCAGAAGTTGAGAAACCTGCATGAGAACCAAGAATGAGGTTATAAACACACCAGATTAATTTTTTCAGTTTGTTGCAACACTTTGCTTTGCCCTTTCCTTTTGTTGAATTAACATAAAATCTGAACAGGGCCTTTCAGAACGCCAAGTTACATTGGACTGTGTGAGTAAACCTGTTGAAGAATTACCTCTGAGTCAAGATAATTTTGGGGTTAGAGAAGTAATTGGGCAGAAGGTGCAAGGGGAATGCAAGACAGATGAATGTATCACTCCAAGTTCAGTGATTAGCAAACTGCTTGATTACAGCAGACAAAGAAAAAGGCACATCCTATGGAAAGAGACGAAATAGGCCTACTTAATCCTCGTGGAAATACTAGGCTTTAATTAATTTATAGTCATTAGAGTTTATCTAATTTTGAAGTTTTCTTTCAATGGCATTTCTCTGTGGATAAATACAGGAGTAATGTGAAATGTTTAATCTAAAACAGTCAAGAAGTCAGGAAGCAAACAAGGGGAAGTCTTGCCAGTGCCAAGTCTGGCTAGAGAGCTGAAAATTAGAACATGCAAGATGCTACAACCCAGGTGCACAGGAGCGAGAGACACAGACCCTTCTACCTTAACAAGAATCAAGACTGACACTCTTTCAAGAATGAAAAACTTGATTGCTTGCCTTTTTTTTTTTTTTTCTTCACAAGTCTGAATGGCCCTCAGTTTACTCTGGTATCTTTTCTTCCTTGTTTTGGTTTTGACACGAATCTTTACACAGCTCTCTCTCTATAGACTGCACTGGATTTGGGATGCTGGGATTTCTTTCTGGAGCTGAACCAACATATTTTGAACAGCAGCTGTACTTTGCTGCATTAAAATCATGGTGCCACCACGGAAAGCACTCTGTCCAAGGGTGCAGGAGTAAAGTAGCAAGTTTTTTGAAAGTGGAAATTTCTACACTGAGAGAGCCACAGGCAAGGAGAATTCCACCTCAGGGACAGCAAGTGTTTTGCTGCGTGTTGTAACTGAAGCATACAAAATGAAACCAGACCTTTACCAAGCTTGTTTACCACAGCAACTCCTTTCTCCAGAGCTTCCCCTTTTTTCTCACAGCATCCCAACAGCCCCCTGTCTGGGCCTGAGGATTAATGAGCTCAGTACTGCTCAGCACTTCCTCTGTTGTTCCAGATATGATTTTAACTTAGTTTACTGATATTACACTCCCTTTGGGGTCCCATGGGACCCAGTGTTGCCAAAACGGGTGTTTAGCACAGTTCCATGCCAGAGGACTGAAAAATGTAAAGAATAAAGATTCTGTGCTGGGGCTGTGAGGGCTGGAGCCCTCAGAGGGGAAGGGCAGAACCTGCAGGGCCCTGCAGTGCCCAGGGGCTCCTGCGAGGCTTCCACGCACAAAGGGCATGAGTTGGGCGGGGGCAAGGCAGGATGTACTTCCAAATATATTTCCATGCCATTCAGAAAGTTCAACCCTTTGTGGTTTGGACACTAGTTAGAGCAAATATTTTTCTATAAATGTTTAAATAACACCTCCTTTCTCCAGCAACCGACATGCTCCGGCTGCGCGGAGCAGACCTGTGTCCCCTCTGTGTCACCTCTGCAGTGACCCAGGGACACCTGGCACAGCCAAGCTTCCTCTCAGGATGCTTTGGGTTTAGCTCTATGTTCTGCATATTTGGCAAGATTATATGGTTCACTTTTGAGATTCAAATTGCTTTTTTCATGCTCTTTCATAGTCCAAGTGTTATCATATGATTTAAACATGCTGGAAAAGTAGCAAAAGAAATAGTGAATATCACTGTACCAGGATGAATAATCCAGTAAATGAGGGAATCACTTAAATCACACATAAAAGTTAGAAGGGGCATTTTAGATTTCTAAAGGTAAGGGAGGCTGTTGTGATTTATCATTTTGCCCTAATAATTTCATTTAACCATATTTTAAATTATCAACATGTTAAAGACTCCAGGCAATGGGGTCTGCTACTAACTAAATCAAATTACTTTAAGAGAGGAAAGAAGAATTATAAAGGCAAAAATGTAACATTTACTCCAATAATAAGGAGAAGGAGAAGAGATTTGAGGTTTGTTAGGAGGTTTCCTTCCCAAACCTCTGCTGACATGTGAACTGACAGGTAGTAAAATAATCTCCCACTTGAGTATAGAGGTTAAGAAAATGAAAAGTTGTAAAGTAATTTTAGGAACAGAGGAAATCCCCCTGCAATTTAATTTTTGTACCAGTTTAGGAAGCTGAGGATAATTCATAGAAAAGAGTAGTAGTGCCATTCATATCACACATTTTTCAACAAGAGGATGACATAACATCGAAGTCTTTCACAACATTCCAAGTCTAGATTACAACAAAATTAGAGAATGAGACTGCTGTGAAGACAGGAGGCTGAAAAATCAAACACAAAGATACTGAAGAAATGTTATTTTCCTGCAACACTCCAGACCCATGAAGTGCTACACATGAACCTGGGTGAAGCAAGCTGACAAAAAGCAGGTTCTATCAAACTGTAAATAAGGAGTTCAGTGAGACATTGGTACTTTGATTTAGAAGTGCTTTGATTGAAAAGCTCAGTATCATTGGTCACAATTTTAAAGCTTTTTTTTTTTTCAACAACTTTGGAAAGTTTTCTCTCTTCTGCACCCCCCAAAGGTTGTGTCCTGGTGCACAACACACTCACCTGAAGGCAGGAGTGTTTCCTGGCTTTCACCCCAGGCAATGTTTTGAGACAGTTTCCTGGAAGATGGTCAAGCCAGCATTGAGGAAGGGAGAGATCCCCTCCATGTTACCATCACCTGTCTCCTTTTTCTCTCCCCAAATATATCCCTGGCAATTCCTCTGCTCCACAGGCACCACAGAGATTTTCCTTTCAGAAATGGCCCGATTATTTGTAAACTGCAAGTAATGGAGCTCAACTTATATTTAGCTTTAAAGGTTTTACTTTCTATTTCTGATCTATGAAAAGCTTATACAGCTGAAAGGCAGTTTAAATTTTCCTTTTGTATTACCCAGCTGAACAAGAGATACTACTTTTGTTGAGAGTATTTATCTTTCCAATGGAATAGTGTTGCTTTCCACAAACTTTATAGTCTAAAATGAAAGAAGAACAGAGATGATGCTGAAAAACGGCTGATCCATATCCTGCCACATTTGCCTTTGTCTCCCTTAGAGATGAGTTTAAAGAAGGTAGAAAAAGTATAAATGATAAGAAAAGAGGAGTTTTTGCCTTTCAATGAGCTTAGCTGTACCGTGATCAACACAACAGAGAGATGTTACTCATCTGGTGCTGGAGACAGACAAGTTGAGGCAAACCAATGACACACTGACCTGCAGGTGTCAGAGTTGTGATTTAGAGCAGAATTTGCCTTATCCAGTATTGCCCAGCTCTTCCATCCCAGCAGCAAGATGAAGTAAAGCATCACTGCAGACACCTTGCCTACATTTTAACTCAGTGATTTTCTTCAAGACAGAATTCCAGCCCACCGAAATGGGAAAGTAAAGCTCGAGGTTGTTTTTCCAGATTTGTGGAAAAGATGGAAACGAGCCAGTTTCTTTCAGTGATTTTCAGTTTCACTTTCTATAGGTGCAACATTTATAAACCAAAAAATGTCCTTATCAAAGTCTGAAACAAACTACAGCAACCTTTAGAGCAAGTAACAGGGCTAGGCACAAAATAAAATCACAAAAACCCTATCCAAAATTTCACCTGCATTCAGACATCATCCTACTAATATTCCAAGCAACATAAGTCCGGATACCGACACACTACAGTTACCAATACCTACAAAAGGTAAGCTAAGATGAATTTACCATGGGAAAAGCATGCATTCAAGGGTTAGGGAAAAACTAACCTTAGGAAATTGCACAGTTCCTGCTCTTTCCCTCTGTATTCGGTACCAAAAAATGAGGAGAGCTGCCTGCCCTGCCCAGGGCAAATTGAAAGTGACAGCAGAAAGGAGGAAATAAGCAAACCAGAACACTCAGAGGGGGAATTCCAAGGAGGAAAATTAAGAGGAACCTCCCTTCTAGCAACCCCAGTACCACAAGCACTGTTACCTTCACTGGTCACTGCCACCGCTAAGATCTTGCTCTTGTCGCCAGTTAGGAACAGACTGAATTATCTGGTTGGAATTCGTAAATGGGTGAGAGCCGATAGTGACAATTTCCATTGCTCCCCAAAATTCTTCTTCTCCTTTTTCATTCCAGGTTAAATCTGTCCCAAAGTCATGCTGGTTATCAGGAAGAGCAAAGCACTTACCTTGCAGCTCCACTTGGGGTAACAGAAGTGAAAGTGTGTCTTTCACGTGTTCACAGACTCTACCAGTATAAAATTGGTTTGGTATCTCAAGCATGAGTCTCTTGCCATTGGTCTAAAATGACAAGTAGGATGTTCTGTGAAACAGGAGCTCATAAATCTTGCCTGGCTTGCACGTGGTGTTCACGGTTTGCTCGTAGCAGCATCCGACAGATGATTATTCATCTAATCATCACTTACCCTGCCAGTGCCTACCTGCTGTAAGACAAACAACTTTTGAAAACCAAGTTCATTCATGAGCATTCCCATCACGATGACTGTAGCTGCTTCTGTGTGGCTCTGCAAGTTTATCTGCTTGCTTTTGTCTTGCATAGACTGATACAAATTAGAAATTAGTTACAAAAGAGACTATATTCTGAAGTGAGTAAATACTGTTTGTAGTATTATTCCATTGGCTATAGCTTTAAAGAAAAGTTCCACCAGGGGAAAAGGAGGGAAGTAGGATCCGATAAACACAATGACATCCAGGATTTCCTGCTTTAGTAAGGCAAGATTTTGATCAGCTGCTTGAAAACAACTTGTTTCTGCACAAGGCAGCAGCTCCTGGGAGCAAAGCAGCTGCTGACCTGTGTAAACCTTTTCTCTTTGCAGAGGGGATCCACCAGATTCCATGGGAAAGTGCTCACTGAGAAGGGACAAAACTGTTTCCTCCCTAGGAACAGCTGATCTGTTCCCTGTATTTACAGACATGGAGCCCAACTGTGGTGCAAAACACCAGCCTCTCCAAACATCCAGGCTGTGCTGGAATTCCTCTGTGCACATTAGAAGAAAAGCAGCATCTCAGAATAACAGCACTCAGAGTAGGAAATAATGCACAAATACAAGTTCCGTATTTTAGTGCTCTGTTTTGATTGGAGACAATAAAACAATCATACAAAATTTAAGAGGGTTATTTTTTAGCCCTATTCTGCTGTGCAGCACAACCCCTCAAGTGACAATCTCCTTCACCAGCCCTGAAGGCAGATTTTTTTACCAGCTTCTGAGACAGAAGTCCCAGGAGGCAACCTCTGTACTTCAAGAGCAAAAGTCTGGGGAACAGGAGTTCAGCTGTTTACTCAGCTGTGATTCCAGTTCATGACTGCAGCAAAGACTGGTTGTCCACTTCTTGTACAACACTCATAAGCTGCTTGGAAACAGCAGAAAGGAATGGCTTGAGGAAATAATAGTTCATCTAGTGGAATACTCTATGAAAGTGGTCTTACAGACAGAGGGAAAAGCAGACTGGAAAACAGGAGGGTGTGAGACAGCTGAGAAGTGCCGAAGCTTTTCAGAGAACCATCAGCCTCTTTCATCAGCTTCAATGTCTGCTGAGAGACTGCCCTACTGCAAAAAGAGGAGGCAGAACATATTCAGTAGTACTGGAAGCACTGCTAAACAGATGTCAATAATGCACTTTACTGGAGAGAGAAATCTGGGACTTTTTTTTCTAGAAACTGTAAACATCTGTAGATAAAGAGAAACCTTCTTATATCAATCTGTTCCTGACTCAAGTTTTATTTGCAAAGCTTCTTCACAGTGAAGCAATGATTGAACTTAAGGCTGACAAATGACCAAATTTCAACAAGAAATCCAGAAGAGAATTTGCTTCAAAGGAAGCTGAAGTCCCTGATAAAATTTGAGTAATTTCCTAGTAAATTAATGTCTTTGAACCTGTAAAATCTAAAGAACAGTGACCATAGTTGAGCATGTGATGTATGAAGACTAATGCTTCAGATCTTCAAGATCTTTGAATGGAGATTTTAAGTGCTACATTACAAAAAAGGGAAGAAGCAGACACCTCTTCAAGCACATCAGGGATTTTATCAGAAGAAGAAAGCAGACTGTATATACTCCCAGTATAAGTGGCACTAGGCCACTGTCTATAGTATTCTACATTTAAAAAAAGAATTTTTGTCATTAATTTGAATGCACATAATAACAGAGCTAGAATCTTCCAGGTCAGTATTTTGCCCTCTTATGAACTATCTTAGTTTGTATCCTTAGCATTTCCTCTTGTATTTTTATCTATGTCTTTGGGTCTTGCTCTGTCAGCCTTCTGAGAAGTCTTGTCCAAAGTTCTGTGAGATTCTGAGTGACCACAAATATTTGAGGCCATAATCTGTCTTTGTACCCACTAGACTGGAAATTCTGAACCTTCTGAGTTCCTAACCTCACTTGAGAAAATTACCTTCTGAGGAAGCTGCAGGTATGACGAGCAGCAATTCATGCAGGTAAGACACCCCTGCAATCTAAAAGGCAGATCATTTATGTTCAAATCATCTTCCGTAATATCACAGCTTTCCTTTCCTACAGGAAGTCACGTTCATAATATACATTAAAAGGTTTCCACTGAGAGCTGCAAACCCTGGTGGAATTAATGAGGAAATCCCATGTAAATGTGCATTCATGATGGAAGGCACAACACTGGTAACCAAAGTCTTCATTCAGAGATTTATCCAAAACAAATTCCTGCAGTTCTGCTTTGCAAAGCGTAACAAAGTCTGGGGATGGGTTGGTCCTTACATATTCACTGAGGGCAGTGTTCTCTCCTGCTCATGGGCATTGCTGCAAAGTCCCTATAGATTTCCATACTGTGTTATGATCAAGGAACTGTGCTTTCTTGAAAATTCCTTTCATGTTGGCTGAGCTGTTGGGTCTATATTTGAGCTCTGGTTTTCCAGTCAGCTGCTGGCTTTGGCCTCTCTGGCCATAAATTTGTTTCCCTAGCAGAATTTTTGTTTGGGATTCCTTCTATCCAGGCTGAATAGCTTTGAGGTACTGTTGCTTGAGCAAGTTAAATAGACCTTCAAGTCTACGAAAACAAATTTCCCTACTTTCTGATTATAATGTCTCAAGCCTGCATAAATATACAGGCATCAGCAGTTCATTACTTTGCTTTGCTGCTCAGCTTCCCTTCCTGTTCTATGGATTCTCTCTACCTCACACACAGCTTTCATAGGTAAGAGGGATGTTTCATAACAGCTGTGTCTCTTCTAGGGATTGTCATGGTAGTGTTCTCTCAAGATCCAAAAGAAAAGACCTGCCTTAGCAATGGAAAGTGCCAAGCAATAGCAGCATAAAAAGCAACAAATAGTAAAAATCTATGGCCTGACTTAGTTCTCTTTTTCACACACACTGTTTGTGCTATGATACATTTTAAAGAGGAAAGTGAGTTGAAAAGCAGAAGTTGTGCTTTTGATTTCTCTGCATCGAGGGGAAGTCTCACTTCTAAGTAAATATGATGCTGGCCAAAGGTCTACAGCTGATTTTGGAATCCAAATAATATTAGTAAAATGTCAGCAATTGATTTCACTGCTTTTCCCAGGGACAGTGAGGCAGCTGAAAGTGTACCAATGTAGGCCAGTTATGTCCTTCAGTTCATGGCATCTGGGTATGACATAAGCCTTAGTAGATTTTATCTGCTGTCAAGACAGTAAGAAATTTTTTTTCTTTCTACAAATGCAAAACCAAAAGCAGAAATAGAAATCACATTTGATTTAAGATTAGGACCGTAGCAGCAAAAGTACTTGAATCAAGTTTTCAAAGCTTAAGCCACTCTAGTCCCCTTTCTCTTATTTTGGTCTTAGCTACAAGATAATCAGTTTTGAGGTCAAAGGCAGAGTACTTTTAGCACATTGTTGCTTGGTATGTTTGCCTGTAGCTTAGCAAAAGCCAGGGGCAGCTGTATAGGAACTAGGCTTCCTCCCAGATTATGATCTTGCAGACCTTGTTGGAAAACTCCTCAGGAATTCTTAAAACTTCTGGGAAGAGAAAAACAGGAGCCAAGTTGAAATCTTTATATCTTAACACCCATGCAAAGGCCATCCCACTTTTGATCTGTCTCCACTCTAGACATAAGAGAAGAAATCATACCGTATTTGGGTTGAAAAGTCTCTAATCTCCTGCTCCTGGTGAACACCACCTGGGCACATTCGCAAATGGACACTGCTTAAGGTGTGAAACACTTGCAGAAAATCTTTTCTCATATTTAAGTGGCAGTCATGATGATGTATCACAGGCTATTTGCTCCCTTGGAACTATCCCGTGGAGGGGAGTTCTTTCTCCACAAGAAGTCTGTCATTCTCACATCAGTATATCCCCTCACAGCCAACCACACTTTTGCCCTGGAGCTCTGAGCTTTGTATAACTAAGGTGCAGCAGCTCAATGAGTTGCAGGGACTGGCCAAGGATTACAGTTTCAATTGAGTTTCTTCTCTTAATACAGAGTTTCTCATGTGGCTTGAACTCTGCACCTCCCATCAAGAAGGAGACTTAGTCAGGACAGCTGGTGCCTAGAGGGGTCTTGAATGTGACTGATGCTGCTGAGAAAGGTTTCTGAAAACTTCCCTGGCCAAATAATGGAGACAATACTTTTGGCTTTTTGCTTGTTTGTTTGTTTGTTTTTAAATCTGTTGAACCCATTCAAGAGCTCGGTGATGGCAGAAGAAGCTGAAACTTCCCTCTTCCCCAGGCTGTGGTAAATTCATTCAGATTTGTTGTCACTGCAAGTGATTCCCAACTTTCTGGAAGGGAAACCCTTAGCTGCCTTCAGCATTTCTTCTGCTCCACAAGATGGCAAAGTAAAACTGAAGGCATCTTATTCAGTGTAGTTTTATGCTGATAAAACTA